CCACACACACACACACACACACACACACACACACACACACACCATGGAAAGTGAATAAAATTGCGTAATGATAAAGTTGTGGAGAGAAGTCAGTAGTGTCAGACCAATGGAGTTCCAGGACATGGAAGGAAACATTAAAGCAAACACTTCACATTTATTATGTGTTTTTTAAAAATCTATTCACTTTTCTACTTAAGTAAATTTGTGTTCAAGAGATTTCTAACACTACTTTAAATAGAAAACTGGTATCCGTTGCCTAAATATAAGATAACTATTTAAATAAACACAGTGAAAATAAAACAATACCATTATAGTCAAGCTAAATACACTTGCAGGCTTGCATTCTCCTTATTAAAAAAGAAAATTAGCCACTGTGAGAGAGGTATTAAGACACATTGGCATCAAACTGAGACTTTCTCCATGGAGTAATCAGACAGATTGAAAGATAAGTGGAAACGGAATAACTTCCTAACTCTGTAATTATAGGCCTTTTAGTGCGGAGTCCTAGTACCATCAAAATCAGTATTTCTCCTAACTTTAATGTGCATAGAAATCACCTGGGATCTTGTTAAAAATGTAGAATTGCAGGAAGCCTGGGTGAGACTCAAAGACTTACATTTTTAACACAATCTCAGTGCTGCTGGTTCTTGGACCAGTCTTTGAGTAGCAACTATCTGAAGTACCAATGATGCTATGGATCCCCCATTTTGGGATATACTAACTCTTATTTTATAGATGAGAAAAGTGAGGACTTGGAGGTTGTGAATAACCTGAGGTCCTACCGTTAGTTGGTAGATGAGTCAGAGCTAAAACTCATTTCAGGGACTTCCTGTCCCTCAGTTCAGTGCTCTTTTCCAGAAAAGCTGAAGGGCCCTGACTTGCTTCTAGGGCCAAACAGATAAACAAAACAAACAACTGACTCCTCCCCCCCCCACCCCCCAAAAAAAGTAACAAAATATTTTCAAGAGTCTGTGACATGAAAGCCAAGGTTTGAACTGCTGTATTCTATGTTATGCCCAAATTCTTAGGAGCTTAAGATAACAAACTGTGGGTCACATCATGTCTCCAC